GAAAAACGGCCGTTGGAAAGCAAATATCCAACGGAAAATCCAATGGAAATAAATTCCTACAGCTATTCCAACGAAAAAAATCCGTTGGAATTTCTCAACTATCCAACACTTATTCCAACATAAAATTAAGTTCGTTGGAATATTTATTGGAATTTCCAACAAAAATTTTTGTCGTTGGAATTTTTCATTGTAATTGTAGTGTTTTTTTGTAGTGGTAGACGGACTACTTGTATATTTGTAATAAATATTTACTCATGTTTATGAAATATTTTTCGGTTTAAAAATATGAACATTTATGAAAAATTGTGAATGTCAAACCATTACATCTATTTAACAGTAAGTATAATTGTCAAACCACATAGTAAGTATGGTTGCAAATTCTTGCATCTATCTAAAAGTAAATATGATTGTCTAACGATTACGTCTGTTTAACAGTAAGTAAGATTGTCAAATTGTACAATTGTTTAACTGTAACTCAGTAAGTATGACCGTCAAAGAGTCAAATCGTTAAGTCCGTCTAACAGTAAGTATGAATGTCAAACCGTTATAAAAAGTACGAAAGTCTAATAACTACGCTTGTTTAACATTAAGTATGATTGTGTATGCCTTAGATAGAAATATATGGACGATCGGATAAAATTTTATTTTTTTATCTCCCCAAAATAATATTTTTTACTAAACTAGAGTTGAATACAAATTTGTTAACTCAAAATCCACTATTCATCTAATTCAATTTTTTCTCCATCAATATTATCAATATAATTAAATAATAAAAATCAATCATTGCTACACATTTTCCAATAAAATTCACAATCTACCCACTTATATATTTTAACTAATAATTATTTACTATGTTTAGATCATATCAACTTTAATCGTTACTTCTTAACTCATATACATTCACAAACTCAAAATTTATTCATTCCTCAATTCCAATATTTTTTTTTTCTATTATCTACTCACTTTATCCAATCAATTAAAATTAACCCAAACTGACTCATTCCAACTGCACTGAATCGCCACATACAAGAATTTCTTATTTATTTTATGTTATTGTATTATGATATGGACTTCTTGTAAAGAGATATGAACTTGTTTTTCTTTTTTTTTTTCTTTGTTAACGTATTAACAATAACACGGTAGACCAATTTCAAGCAGTTAACTCGACAGGCCGGTCTCAAGGAGTTAGCTCGACTAGGTGGTCGACGACTAATAGGCCTAATAGCCCAGGTTTGATGACTTAAGAGTCCTGAAACTCGAGCATGATGATTTAGGACATTATAGCTCGGTTAAGACACGAAGAATGTTGGACGGATAGCTCGTAAGACTAGTTGACCTCTAGAAGCATTGTATCACGACCTAGGAACTTTACAACTAGGACCAGTTGATCAAGAAGTAAAAGCTATGAGCTCAGACAAATAGAACAGGTGTCATGACTTAAGATATACAAGACATCAAAAAGTAGATA